TTACAAACGTTTGATGGCGTGGTCAATCCAAGTGATCATCCAGAAATAATGATCAAAGCGATTAAAATGAACTTCCTAGAAATTTGATAACAAGGTTGGGGCATTAGGGTTGTGCAACTTTTCAAAGAATTCTCTTGTGATGAAGTTAGAAAAATTGGATTGTATCCGTAACCAATTTTCATGAAATTTTGCTTCATGGAAGCTGACATTAGTCAGAATTTTTTTTTACATTCAGTTTTTTTAATCGTTCCTAAACTTGACACTCTCTTTAGAATTTTACATTCAGTTAGATGCAAGAGTCTCATTAGGGCATCCTAATGAGACTCTTGCATCTAACTGAATGTAAAATTCTAAAGAGAGTGTCAAGTTTTTTAACGATTAAAAGAACATTTTGCTTGTACATATTTTTTACTCAGCAATAAACTATCATATCATATCATACATTAGCATTTTTTGATTGATCCCAATCAGCCTGTCGTCCTGAACATCGATGAGTTCGCTAATTTTTTGTGAAGCAATTATATATTGCTCGATCGTTTGACTTCAAAATACTGGAGCATCTTTCACAATTGATTCAATTACCCTATGGTTGTCCCAGAGGAAAACCGGAGCCACCCACTCAGAACATAGAGCTCGTTGAGTTCAGTGAATAATAAGCACATTTTGGTAGTATAAAATAGATTAAGTTATTTATAACTTAATTTATCTAATTGTAAGAGAAGCAACCGAAATTAGATATTTGCTTGTGTTTATGGTGTATGAAGGAGACTGCTAAATTGCCGTAAGAAATTCGCGATGGCATTGCGTTAAGATCGAGTTGCAGCAGCATTTTCGGCAATGTTGAATAGTCGTATTTTGATTACGTGCGTGTAGCCGTATGTGTTGTGACAGTAGTTGAATACTAACTCAACTCTGCACAATGAATACTAATTATGCACGCACGTATTTTCATGCAAATAAATCGAATTCAGCGAACTCGATAACATTTGTTTATTCGTAATTTCTTTAGTTATTCGTTGATTTACTGATACAATCACTCAATTTCATATTATGCCCCATTCAGCCGATATTTACTGAAAGGTTATCTACAAAATTACTTTCAAACATAGAATTTTTTGCAGAGTACAAATGCAGAATCATCAGACTTTTTGCGATTTCAACTTATCAATCCGAATATCATTCAACTACAAACTTGAGTTTGTAGGGAAATCGAACGTTCAAACGTGAACATTCAAAAGTTGTAAGTGCATATAAATTTGCTGCTGATAACAAGAGTGAATTCACATGGAATCGCAATGTGTTCAAGCAGTAGAAGAGAATGCACGGCTCTAGAGATGATGATTATATTGTAGGCTGGAGCTGATAACTCGCGAATGTGAAGAGTTGGAATGCCAACTTCTTCGAAACATTCACTTTATCAGCAAATCGAATTTAATAAGAATTTGAAATGATGAAGTTCTGCTCAAATGCATCTGTATCGCATTTTTTTCATCAAATGTCCCGTTCTCTGTAAGATTTCGCACTTAAAATTTCCATCAAACCGTTAATATTGACAGTCAGCAGTATCAACTGTTAGGTCGATAATACCTTTTCTTAGTACATTATCACTAGCATATGCGTTAAATGTCAACATTCTCAGCATATCAATATCACTAACAGTTTCGTGGTGATTCCTAAAAGAATGGATAAATTGGCAACAAAACATTTCCAGACGAATAAAATGATCTTTCAGAGAAAGAAACGATCTGCGAGGGTGGGGAATTTTTTAGCTCATTCAAATGGCAGAAAGTTGTTTTACATCGATGCAATATTTTATATGAGGAAGCTTTTTAGGTAACCAATGAAATTTTTCGTTCCTAGGAGTTTCTCCACTTCGAACAAGCTGAAAGAATGCGGAAATGGTAAAATGTCCCAAAAGATGGGAGATTTTTGCAAGAAACGACTTCAAACGACTGCCATAAAACAAAATCATCGTTCGCACTATTGACCGATTTGTTGTTGCTGATCCCAAAAACTTTTTAAATTGGTTTAATGTTTGGACATTCGTTGAGGTGCCTTTCTAGGTTTTAAGCCTTTGCTGAAGTTTCTGCAGTGTGTCTCAGTTCGAGATCAGTCTTTCGAATCAATCCTCAGGCTTCAAGAAAAACACTGGCCGAAATTAACTGATACGCCGAAGCCAATGAGCCGGCTGTGAGCAATCATTTCTTTCTCAAATGTGACGACGATTCAATCGTCTGTTCGATCTAGAATTTAATCACATCAATCTTATTCACATCTTATTCATTTGCCGTTTCGTAAACGTCATTCATTTACCATACTTCATATTCGTCATTTTTAAATTTGAAACAAATAAGAGCAGCATTTGAATAGTGTAAAACTGTGTGCATGTCAAGCAATTTCCATGATGAGAGCATCTCAAGCATCTCATCAAAAACTCATTTTGCAGTTGAGAGAGCAATCATNATATTTCCATTCCAAGCCGCACCAAGATGTGATATTTCACGGCGACGATAGGCTGGTTGTGCACGATTCCTTGTTAATGCTTTCAAAAACCCGTAAAAAACTTGCCATTAACACTGAACTCGATTATCGCTCAGCCAAAAAATTCACATGATAACGATTCTGTCGCCTGAGCGATAAAATCACCTAGAGAAGGCAAGTAAGTGTGCATGTGCTTTAGACTTCATAAATTTACTCAATTCGTTTCTCACTTCCCTGCTGAATAGACGATGATCATTCTTCTTTTCATCATTTCCGACGATCTCCATGGATGCTTTCCCGCATGCATAAATCGAATGATTCATGAGTTATGATCACACACACACAAAAAAGTGTCTCATCAAAGCCATAAATTAAACATGCAATTGAACTAGTTTATGTGAAGCTTTATTTATTGTTTATCGTTATCGTTTCATTTCTTTTATAGTCACTTTATAATTGCTTTCACCACCATAAATTACTCATTCATCTATGATTTACGTCGAAATGCTCTTGCATAAAGTAATGTATCATTATGTAATCCCCACGAATGACAGCTTCAATGTTACACCTTTTTGAACAAATACATAACTCGGCATACCGCACGGTTAAATTTCTATAAATACGGCTAAAATATAATAGGTTTTAGTTAAATATCAACCAACAATGGTGTTGAGGCGTTGACTTCCGCTCATTAATGAAAGTTTGCCATTCCGCAGGTGTGAGTGTTCCTGATCGAGCTTCTTGCCTTTGTGCTCAACTCTGAGATCCACTTTAACTTTTACCGCTTCTTTTGATTCATTGTTGACCGGAGGACGAGGCTGAAGTCAGCTCGAGCTCAGGTGTACACGAAGTAGATGTTTTTGATCAACTGTACGTAATTAGTGTGTGTCTGGATCGTAGTTTTACGGATTAACTCAAACAAATTGATTACAACCACTGGAACAAATCCTATGCCAGCAGAGTTTTTTTCTTAGCAAACACCAAGAATACAAACGTCATCGAGAATGTTAAGTGAGTCATATTTTATCGGACCACTTTAGAGCACAGAAGGCAATGGAGCACTGGAATATCTCATCGTTTGTGCGGTCTTTTCTCGAAGTCAAATGATCTATTGTCGTGTAATATATGTCGTGGAAAGGTGATCGATCATCGAACCATTCATTCATTTCTTTTTGAAAAATTTGTCATCGCAGAATTTCTTATAGGGCAATTTGCTCCCTTTCCTTCATAACAGTACACTAGTTGAGTTGTTGTTCGATTGGTCGTTCAT